TTTTTATTTTGATGTAGTCCCATTTGTTTCTTTTCTCTTTAGATTCCATTGCCCTAGGGGCAGTATCAGTGAAGAAGTTCTTTTGGCATACGTCTGAGATTTTGCTGCCTGTGGATGCTTCTAGTATTTTTATGGTTTCCCGTCTGCTGTTTAAGTCCTGTATCCATTTTGAGTTTATTTTTGTGAATGGTGTAAGTTGGTGATCTAGTTTCATTCTTTTGCATGTGTCTGTCCAAATTTCCCAACACCATTTATTGAAGAAACTGTCTTTACTCCATTGTATATTTGTGCCTCCTTTGTCAAATATTAATTGAGCATATTGATTTGGGTTGATATCTGGGTTCTCGATTCTATTCCATTGATCTATATGTCTGTTCTTGTGCCAGTACCAGGCTGTTTTGAGAACAGTGGCTTTGTAATATAGTTTGAAGTCTGGTATTGAGATCCCTCCTACTTTACTCTTCTTTCTCGGGATTGCTGTGGCTATTTGAGATCTTTTATTGTTCCAAATAAACTTTTGGAGAGTTCTTTCTAGGTCAGTGAAATATGCCATTGGTATTTTAATGAGGAGTGCATTGAACCTATAGATTGCTTTAGGAAGTATGGACATTTTGATGATGTTGATTCTACCAATCCATGAACATGGTATGTTCTTCTATCTCCTTACATTTTCCTCTATCTCTTTTTTCAATGTCGTGTAGTTTTCCACAAATAGGTCCTTTACTTCCTTAGTTAAATTTATTCCTAAGTATCTTAATTTTTTTGGTGCGATGGTAAATGGAATTGCTTTTTTAGCCTCTGTTTCGGTAGTTTCACTGTTGGTGAATAGGAATGCCATGGATTTCTTGGCATTAATTTTGTATCTTGTTACATTGCCAAATTCATTTATTAAGTCAATTAGTTTTTTAATGGAGTCTTTTGGTTTTTTTATGTACAATATCATGTCATCTGCAAATAAGGATAACTTTACTTCTTCTTTTCCAATTTGGATGCCTTTTATTTCCTCCTCTTGTCTAATTGCAATGGCTAGTACTTCCAGTACTATGTCAAACAGGAGTGGCGAGAGTGGGCATCCCTGTCTTGTTCCTGTTTGTAGAGGGAATGGTTTTAGTTTTTGCCCATTGAGTATAATGTTGGCTGTGGGTTTATCATATATAGCTTTTATTATGTTGAGGTATGATCCTTGTACTCCCACCTTGTTAAGAGTTTTTATCAGGAAAGGGTGTTGGATTTTATCAAATGCTTTTTCTGCATCAATTGATATGACTATATGATTTTTATCTTTCAATTTATGTGATGTATCACGTTTATTGATTTGCGGATATTGTACCATCCTTGCATTCCTGGAATAAATCCTACTTGGTCATGGTGTATGATCTTTGTGATGTTCTTCTGGAGTCGATTTGCTAGAATTTTGTTGAGGATTTTGGCATCTATGTTCATGAGGGATACTGGCCTGTAATTCTCTTTCATTGAGTTGTCTTTATCTGGTTTTGGTATTAGGGTGATGCTGGCTTCATAGAAGGAGTTTGGAAGTGTTCCTTCCTCCTGTATTTTTTGGAATAGTCTGAGGAGGATAGGTTTTAGTTCTTCCTTGAATGTTTGGTAAAACTCTCCTGTGAAGCCATCTGGCCCTGGGCTTTTGTTTGCTGGAAGCTTTTTGATGACTGTTTCAATTTCTTCCCAAGTCACTGGTTTATTGAGATTTTTAGATTCTTCCTGATTGAGTTTTGGAAGTTTGTATTTTTCTAGGAATATGTCCATTTCCTCCAGGTTGTTCAGTTTGTTGGAATAGAGTTGTTCGTAGTATTTTGTAACAATCCGTTGTATTTCAGTGGGGTATGTTGTTATTTCACCTCTTTAATTTCTGATTTTGTTTATTTGGGTCCTCTCTCTTTGTTTCTTGGTTAGCCTGGCTAGAGGTCCATCTATCCTGTTTATCCTTTCAAAGAACCAGCTCTTGGTTTTGTTGATCTTATGTATTGTATCTTTTGTCTCTATGTCATTTATCTGTGCTCTGACTTTTGTTATTTCCTTCCTTCTGCTTACACTGGGCTTTTCTTGTTGCTCTTTTTCTAACTCTTTGAGTTGTAGAGTTAGATCACTTGTTAGCCTTTTTTCTAGTTTTTTGCAATAGGCTTGTAAGGATATGAACTTCTTTCTCAAAACTGCTTTTGCTGTGTTCCATAGATTTTGGATTGTTGTGTTTTCATTGTCATTTGTTTCCAGGATGTTTTTAATTTCTTCCTTGATTTCTTTGGTAACCCAGTCCTTGTTTAATAGCATGCTGTTTAGTCTCCATGTGTTTGATTTTTTTGATTATTTTTATTGTAGTTAATTTCCAGTTTTATGGCATTATGATCTGAGAAGATGCTTGATATGATTTCTTTTTTTTTTTTTTTTTTTTTTTTTGATATGATTTCTATCTTCTTGAATTTGAAGAGACTTTGCCTATGTCCCAAAATGTGATCTATCTTTGAGAATGTCCCATGTGCACTTGAGAAGAATGTATATTCTGTGGCTTTGGGGTGGAATGTTCTGAAGATGTCAATTAATTCCATCTGGTCTAGTGAGTCATTTAGGATTGATATTTCTTTACTGATTTTTTGTTTTGATGATTTGTCGAAGGGTGACAGTGGGGTATTAAAATCTCCTATTATGATTGTATTGCTATTAATCTCTCCCTTAATGTCCTCCAGCAGTTTATTTTTTTGTTTGTTTGTGTTTTTTTTTTTGTGTGTGTGTTTTTATGTATTTGGGTGCTCCTGTATTGGGTGCATATATATTTACCAGGGTTATTTCTTCTTGTTGGATTGTTCCCTTTAGTATTATGAAGTGGCCTTCATTATCTCTTGTTATGCCCTTCACTCTGAGATCTAATTTGTCAGATATAAGTATTGCTACCCCAGCTTTTTTTTCATTTCCATTTGCCTGGAAAACTTTTTTCCATCCCTTCACCCTCAGTCTGTGTGCATCTTTTTTTCCGAGGTGGGTTTCTTGTAGACAACAGATGTATGGGTCTTGTTTTCTTATCCACTCTGACACCCTATGTCTTTTGATTGGAGCATTTAATCCATTTACATTTAAGGTTATTATTGATAGGTACTCATTTGACGCCATTTTTATTCTATACCTGTGTTCCTTCTTCACTTCCTATTTCTTTATTTTTACAGTAGACCCTTTAGCATTTCTTGCATTGCTGGTTTGGTGGATATAAATTCCTTCAGTCTTTTTTTGTCTTTGAAGCTCCTGATTTCTCCTTCAATTTTGATTGATAGCTTTGCTGGGTACAGTATTCTTGGATTCAGACCCTTCCTTTGCATGACTTTGTATATTTCATCCCATTCCCTTCTGGCCTGATATGTTTCTGTTGAGAAATCAGTTGCTAGTCTGATGGGGGTTCCTTTGTATGTCACTTTCTGTCTCTCTCTGGCTGCTTTTAAGATTCTTACTTTGTCGTTGTTGTTTGCCAATTTAATTATAATGTGCCTTGGCGTCTGTCTTCTGGGATTTATTTTGCTTGGGACTCTGCGAGCATCTTGGATTTGTGTGGGTTTTTTCTTCTCTATCTCAGGAAAGTTTTCTGTCATTATTTCTTGAAATACTTTTTTCATGTCTACCTCAGTTTCCTTTCCTTCTGGAACCCCTATTATTCAAATATTATTTTGTTTTGTATTGTCCCAAAGCTCCCGTAGGCTCTCCTCCTGCTTTTTAATCTTTTTTTCTAGAAGCTGCTCTAATTGGGTATTTTTTTCCATCTTGTCTTCTAGCTCACTGATGCGGTCCTCTGCTTCATCTAGTCTACTCTTGATGCCTTCTATTGAGTTCTTCATGGTAGTGACGTCATTTTTCATTTCTTCGTGGTTCTTCTTCAGTTCCTCTTGGTTCTTCTTCAATTCCTCTTGGTTCTTCTTCAGTTCCTCATGGTTCTTCCTCATTTCTTCTTGGTTATTGTCAAATTTCTCTTCCATTCTTTTTAGCCATCCTATGATCATTATTCTGAATTCTTGCTCTGGTAGGCTGCTTGCCTCTGACTCCTTTACTTCCTTTTCTGGTGATGCCTGCTTTTCTTTCATGTGCGGGCTATTTCTTTGTCTCCCCATGGCCTCTCTTTTCAGAATGTCTGGTTATGTGGTGTTTCTTCTCCTGCGCTGGCTCCACGAGCGAGATGCTGCTGCTGCCGCCGCCACTGGTATGCACCTGGCCCGGCCCAGCCCCACTGCGGCTGCGATCCTCCGCCGCGGCTGCCCGCGCTCGCCTCTCCGTGGCCCCTCTGCCGCCCGCCTGCCTTCCTCCCTCCTCCGCCACCGCTGCCACTGCTGCCTTTTTTTTTTTTTTTTTTTTTTTTTTTTTTTAAGGAAGGAGAAATGCAAACCAACCAGAAAGTGGGCAAATGATTTGGTTAGGTATTATACAGACGGGGGAGCATTATGGCCAATAAACATATGGAAATATTCCTAACTTCAGTAGTGATCAGAGAAATACAAGTTAAAACCAGTGAGTTACCATTTTATACCTACTAGACTGGCCGAAACTTAAGATTTGATCGATTTTTTTATGTTTGGTGAGAAAGTGGAGTTGCTTACTTTATAGAAAACTCTCATGTACATTTTATTTGTTTGCTTTTTTCCATCACCATTTATCCCCTCTTCTGCCTCCACCAACCCCCTACCCTCTCATACACTTAAAAAAAAAATTTTTTTTTTAGTGGAAGGGAGGGGGACAGAGAGAAACATTGATGTGAGAGAGACACATCAATTGGTTGACTCCCACATGCACCCTAACTGGGGCCAGGGATTGAGCCTGCAACTGAGCCTGCTTGACCGAAATCAAAATCTCCACAGGCGGAGGGTACAATTACTGAGCAAAACCAGCTAGGGTGCCTCATACACTCTTGATGGCACTGCAAATTTGATAATGACTTTGGATAACAGTTTAGTATTGCCTTAAAAGTTGAAAATGCTATTTCTTTTCTTTTTTCTTTCTTTTTTTTTTTTTCCACATGTGGGAGCCAATCTCTGATGCAGGAAAGGTTAGAGAGAGATCTTATCATCAAGCCTTTCCCAGCTCCTATATAATATATGTGGCAGAGTCAGGTCCATGAAAATGCTATTTCTAATGATCTAGCAATTCCGCTCTTTGATAGTATTTACTCTTGAGAGACACTGGTGCATATACCAGTAGGCATATGTAGGAGTTTCTTCACTGCACTGTTCATAATATAAAACAAAAACAAAAACAAAACAACAAAAAACAAACACCTGGAAACATCATCAAAGGATAAAATTGTGGTATATTCAAACAGTAGACTACTAAACAGTGGCAAAAAAGGAAAACTACAGCTATGAACTAGGCATGAATATGGATAAGAATCTCACAAATGCTGTTTGGGAGAAAATACTATCATAGAAAAATGCTTAGAGTCTGATTCCATTATAAAAAGGTCAAGCACAGACAATTAAAATAAATCAGAAATATATGCATAGGTAGCCAAAATATATAAAAAGCTAAAAAGCTTATTATTCCTTAAAACTGTATATACTTACTGTATTTTACTCTTTTTTAATATATTTTATTGACTTTTTTACAGAGAGGAAGGGAGAGGGCTAGAGAGTTAGAAACCTTGATCAGCTGCCTCCTGCACACCCCCCACTGGGGATGTGCCCACAACCAAGGTTCATGCCCTTGACCGGAATCGAACCCGGGACCCTTCAGTCCGCAAGCCAATGCTCTATCCACCGAGCCAAACCAGCTAGGGCTGTATTTACTCTTGCATTTATTATATATTTCCACATTAATAAAGTAGAAAGAGATCATTAAAATCTATACTCTGGCACTAGTTGGTTTGGTTAAGTGGATTCGGCCTCCAGACTGAAGGGTCCTGGGTTCAATTCCTGTCAAGGGCATGTGATCAGGTTTCAGATAGATCCCCAGTAGGGATCGTGCAGGAGATAGCTAATCAATGATTCTCTCTCATCATTGATGTTTCTATCTCTCTCTCCCTCTTTCTTCCTCTCTGAAAATCAATAAAAATATATATTTTAAAAACTACCACTACTTTAGGACAAAACTAGTGGGCTTTTTTTTTTGGTGTTTATTTGTTTTTTAAAAATCTGTACTCTGTGAGAGCAGGGATTATCCCCTTGCTCTTGGACTCTGCTTTATTTCATTATGAGACCAGCCTTCCAAACATGGCTTACATAACAGCCAGATATCTGCTCACACAGCATCAAGACTTCCTGTTCACCTCAGCATGAAATACAATTGCTCCAGGTTATAGAGGATTCTAGGCCCTCCCCAGTCTGACCCCAGTTCCCCTTTCTTGTCTCGTGTTCTACCCTCAGCATCTGCTATCGCCACACTAATATCAACACACACTCTGAGTTTTCTCACTTCTTGGTCTTTGTTTCTGCCATTGTACTAAAGTAGTTTCAATTCTGAAAACTTCTTTTTATCTCCATCAAGATACCTATCGGCAATAGCTATTTTGCATTTTAATAAGCATCTATTTTTAATATGTAGTAGAGAGCAAGATTCATACTTAAAGTTACAGACATCAGTTTTAGATGGAAAGGGCAGACAACAACACATTGCCTGTGATTATCTGTGGTTATACTTCTGACAGAAGAATCTTTTGTTTGATCTGAGTGCATCTTGTTTTTGCAATATGATTATAGAATTAGAGACCCTGACCACTCATGAGGATCTTACAACTGTAGTAAGAGTATTAGTGCTTTGTATTTGCATGACACACTGTGGGCAACACAGCCATTCAGTTGATTATCAAATCCTGTTAGAAAATGTCTCCCTCATTTTATAAAATTGCACCATTGGTAGGTAAGTTTAAATTATTGCATCTGTAGTAGAAATAAAACTGGCAACAATAATAATCTCCTGAACATGGAAGACTATGAAGTCCTGAGTTTTTCCTGTTACTTGAATGACTTGACTTATGGAAAAACTTACTAATTAAAGATGGATTTTCTCAACAATCAATCGCTGAACAGCTTGTCAAAATACAAAACAACATGCTCAGCACTGACAAAATGATCAATGGGGAAGGCCTAGAATCCTTTATAACTAGGAGCAATTGTACTTCATGCTGAGGTGAACAGGAAGTCTTGTTGCTGTGTGAGCAGATATCTGGCTGTTATGTAAGCCATGTTTGGAAGGCTGGTCTCATAATGAAATAAAGCAGAGACCAAGAGCCAGGGGATAATCCCTGCTCTCACAGATGATGTGATTATACAGTGCTTCCAAGAAACTTACAAGGTAGAAAGGGGAAGCTACAATATTGTTAAGTCAGGTACTATAATAGCGTTTGCATGGGGACCAAAGACTAGACATCGTGCTCTCAGTTAACACACCAACAAGGGCACCTAGTACTTTTCCTTTGCCATTAAAAGCCTTCAGAGAGCATTCAGTGAATGAGTGAGCACACCCAAGGAGGAGGAAACATTCTGACCTATATCAGGGCATTGTTTTTCATAAATAGTATCTTAGTTCACTGGAGGCTTTAAGTGAGTGTTTATTACAATATTGATTCCTCTTGAGTAAGATGATAACAAATTATTAATGAATTCCATATCACAATTAAAGTAAAAAATTCCACCTTTCTGATCATAGATGAGGAAGAAGTAATTCCTAGAAGAAATGGGCTTAGGAAACAAGTTAAAAAGGTAAAGGAAGGGTCCTTGGAGTTTGGGAGGGAGGAAGCTAATGGTTACTGTGCAAGGGGCTGGGAGGGGGAGAAGGAGAGGGAGGGGAAGAGAAGAGGAAGAGTGAGAGAAAAGGGAAAGGAAGGGAATCGGAGGGAAGGGGAAGGGATGAAAGGAAAGGGAAGAGAAGAAAAAGGAAGAGAAGGAAAAGGAAGGGGAGGGGAGGGAAGGGGAGAGAAGGAGAAGAGAAGGGAGGGGATAGAAAGGAAGAGGAAGAGAGAGAACAGAAGGGAAGGGGAAGTGAGGGGAGGGGAGGAATGGAAAATGCAGGGGCGGGCTCCCAGGAGGAAGTGTGCCCCAACTTTTTTTTTTTTTTTTTCAGTAGTATACTTCCTTTAAACAAAATCATGTGCAGTAGCCCAACACAGAAAACTAATAAGATAGAGCTTTTGTGGAAGGGACTGGGAAATTTTCCATCTTATAAATGGATAGAATGAGTAATGAGGCTTTTGATGAGAAGGATGATTCATAGCTGGAACAATTTGCACTTGACTGTTGAAGGAGTATTTTGTCAAAATAAAGGGCAGTCTTGCAATTCTGTACTAGAATTGTGGGGAATAATTCATATTAACTTCCCCAGAAAGTAAATTATCACTGATGGAAACATGTCCAAGTATGGTTATTATTTTCTTCTTATATTACGCACACCAATTGGTATACATCGCCTCAGGACCTCAAGTTTGAAAGGCTCAAAGAAAATAATTATAGTTTTTAATTATCCCTATCACTGTTCTTGTATTGGTGGAGTAGTCCTCATTGAACCAAAGCTCCCAGATAACAATTTAAAACCCTGGATAACATAATAACTATTTTTACCTGAAGGCACTGGAAAGTGACCAAAAGCTGCTAGAAACTAGAGGAAAGTCGATCCTTAGCAGAAAAAGAACATAGAGCTGACTTCATTTGGCACTGGGCATGCTCCGTGGTGTGTGGTAACCGTTGGTGCTAGCTTTGTGTCTATGGCAGCCTTCGTCCCCACCCATCGGGGTGCCAGGCCCAGGAGAGCCCTGTGTTCTGGAACACGAGTCCCCAAGTTCAGAGCTACCTTTGAGGGGAGCCATGCAAATGATGACTAGACAAGTTTTGTTAGAAATAGAGCAGGAGGAGGAAAAGGACAGGATGGAGATATCGGTGATGTTCCTGTCTGCAAGCGGTCTCTTCTAAGAACTCAGACTCTCCCATCTAGTCTGGGAGAAAAGCTAAGTCATTGAGCTGCAGGTATGTGTATCACATTTTTATATTAAAATGGCTCTGAACATAAGACTGAAATTGTAAAACTTCTAGAAGAAAACATGTGGCAAGCTCCTTGGTAAAGGTCTCAAAGATGATTTTTTTAGTCTGACAACAAAAGTAGAAGCAACAAAAGCAAAACTAAATTAAGGACATACATAAGGACTGCATCCTTAGCATCATACTAAGGAGCTTCTGCACAGCAAGGGAAACCAACAAAATGAAAAGATAACCTACTGAATGGGAGAAAATATTCACAAATCATGGATCTGATAAAGGAATGATCTACAGGATGTATAAAGAACTCATACAACTCAATAGCAAAACCAAAAAAAAAAAAAAAAATACCCAGTGTGATTAAAAATCTGAATGGACACTTGTGCCAAGAAGACATACAGGTGGCCAATAGGGACATGGAAAAATGCTCAGCATCATTAATCACCAGGGGCATGCAGATCAGAACCATAGTGAGCTATCACCTCTCACCTGACAAAATGGCTATTACCAAAAAGACAAGCCTTGGACAGGTAGTTCAGTTGGTTAGAGCATTAAAAATGCTGAAGTTAGGGGTTCCATCCCTTGTCAGAGCACATAAAAGAAGCAACCAATGAGTGCATAAGTAAATGGAACAACAAATCAATGTTTCTCTTTAAAAGTCAATAAATAAAAATTAAAAAGAAATTGCCAGAGAAATTAGAAAAGATTTTAATCAAATGATGTTAAAATATAATACAAAAATTATAGAGACAGCTAAAGCAGTGTTTAGAGAGAAATTTATAACTTTAAATATTTTTATTTGAAGAAAGTTCTAGATAATGACCTAAGAAGCTAACAAAAAGAAAGTAAAAGAGATAGACCAAGATGGCAGCATAAGTAAACACCTGAACTTGCTGCCTCACACAACAACTTCAAAACTACAACTAAAAGGCAAAAGGGATATCAAACAGAACTACAAAAAGACTGGCTGAGTGGAAATTATACAATTAGAAGGAAATAGGAAAGCACACTAAGACTTGGAGGGAGTGCAGAGGTGCAGAAGTGAAGTGTGGAGGTATGGAGACACTCTGTGGGCTGGCAACTGAGTACTCGGTTGTCTTTTTCAATCAGGAGGGAGATACAAGCTCATGACTGCTCTGAATTCCTCTTCTGGGTGAGACTCTTGGGAACCTGACCCATATGGGGAGAAACTAGA